GGGGGGGGGGGGGGGGGGGGGGTCTGCCGAGCGTTCAATCACTCGTGATATGGTCTAAATATTGTTCGGGGTATTGTCGAACGCACACATTCGGGTACGTGCAGGGTAGATCCGGCGGTGCCCCTTTCAGAGCGGAAACTACTGTAGCCTTTGAAAAACACATCGATCGCTTGACAAACTACAAACGTACCGGAAGAGCAATGAACGGTGCTTCGAGTTGAATAAAACAACGAAAACATCGCGTCGCTCGCAGCGAAGCATGACAGGACCCAATACGAAGGATAACGGCCAACCAACAGAATGGTATCTGCGCATGTATGCCGTCCCCTCCTCGACACCTCCTATCCTGGGACGCAGCAATCGACCAAACGCGCATCATCAATGGTTTGAGGGTGCGGGGGGGCGAGACGTTTTGGCGGCAAAAATTCAAGTTATTTACCCCGGTTTGTTGGTTGTGCGACCATCTTTTGCGAGGGCCGGTGGCGCTGTTGCTGCGGAAACAAGCGCACCTTCACTCCGGGGGAAAGTGTTGAAGGATGTGAGGTCCGCCGAAGAGGAAGACGGAGTGGATGGCTCTGTTACGGGGTCGACCCGTAGAACAGAGTTCCCCGCCGATCCCCCCGCCTTGATCGACCGCCGTCCTAGGCGGCCGTTCGGAAGCCCTCCGAACACGCGCCCAAACAGCCTGTTGAATTAAGGGGGGGAGGGAGAGTTGCAACATCGGTGTCAGCAACAAAAAAAATACACCCAAGGCAAGTAGTGCTTCTCATCATGTGGGTGGAGTACCAATACACGTTCTCGAGTGTTACAGAATGGCCAGTGTGACTGAAACTTCACAACAAAGTTTGGACAACCATTTCTCCGGCGAGCAACCCCATTTTCATGTGACATGTGTATGTGTAACCTATCTACGTATGTATGCCAAAAGTACAGGTAAATCCTTTGCCTCCCCCGCAGTCCACCCCTGTGGGTTTGAGCCCAACAATGTGTAGCAAACAGCGTTGCGTTATTCCCGGGGTGCGAGAGAAACAACATGAACTGCATCCACCCCGCTAAGTTTGAGTTGGCCCGGGACTTGTCCGCTTTTGGCGTGCCCGAGGGCGAGTATAGTCTACGTGTTTTTAGGTGTGTTTTAAATAAGACCACGAACGTTGGAGTGTACTCCGTAGTTCTATTTTGGTTTAGCCTGTTTCCACCCACGTTTCGTGGAGTAACCCCAAGGGATCCACGAGAGAAGACTCTGTCATGTATTCCTACGTAAGCCTGTCATGTGTACAGTCTAATGCAACATCACAGACCTCCCCGTCGGAAACATGGTACAACAAAAATATTCGGCGCATAAAATATCTCCCATCTGGCAATTAGAGAGTAAATGACCCGGGCAACAAGGATCACGCTCGACGGCATCACCATGCGAAAAGACCCCCCCCACGGCTCTCAAGGCAGTGTCGCCAATTGTTTGTGCATCTGGTACACAACCAACCCCGCGCCACGGTCTGCTCCACATCGATTTTCGAGAGGATCTTTTAAGAAAAAATGGGTTTCTTTTTGGTTGTGGCCTTGTTGCGGCCGGTATTTGTCATGAGGAGGGTGAACCTCATGACATGGCATCTGTGATCTCCACATGTGGAGGAGAGGCCGGGTGCACGTGCATCAGTTTTAGACTACATATACCTACACGTCTGTGGGAAGAACACCGCCGCAAGCGCAGCGAACCAGTACGAGCATCCTACAAAAGCGCCTACCAATCTCTTGCTCTACCAAACAAACAGTGAAGCCGACAACAACAAGAGAGTGTCTCAACACTCACATATCTCTGGGGTCTGTCTTTCTCTCGGTGTCCCAGTCGCCGGAATCCTCAACGATCACCATGATGTGCCGACGAGACCTTTACCCTTGCTCTGAGTCCGATGCTGCGCCGTGACGCTGCCCGATCTTGACGTGATGAGCTCGATAAGTAGTCCAACAGGGAGCTGAAGGCTATCCGGTCGATGCGGTCCCGTTCCTCCCTTGGCTGAACAAGACGGTGAGATCTACAACCAACAGCCTACTATCCGTCACCCTCGGCAAAAGTTGAGGCAGTAAGCCCACGGCGAGCGTACAGAAGAAGTGCCGCGACGCTTGTTGTGGCGCTACGGTCGCGAAGCTTCCTGCTTCCCTCTGCTGCTGCCGTCCTATTCCCGTCGCTCTCTCTCTCTCTCTCTCTCTCTCTCTCTCTCTCTCTCTCTCTCTCTCTCTATGCCTCGTCTGCTTGTCTGTTTTCGGTTTAATCCACCGTCTCAAAATCGCCAACCAACGTAGCTGAGCTCGCGCTATCTCTCTCGGCTGATGCGCGGACGGACGGGAAGATTGATTCCTCGCGTGCCCACAGCAGTAAGAAGCGATCGTACGGTAGTCTGGTCCGGGTCGTGTATTCACCACCCTGTCTCTGCTCGTGCGTCTCGCTCCTGCTGAATGCTTGGTGAGATTGTGTGCATGGTGCATGGGCGGAGGGCCCAGGCCCCAAGATCCTCGTGGAGCGAGCGGAGGAGGCGTTATTCCTCAGGGGAGGGGTCAACAGGTCCGCCCAATGGGCCGATGGGAGGCCTCTCTACAAGCTACACCCCCCTTGCTGTGCATACCTCATCCTTCTCCCATCGCTGAACATGTGTGTCAACGCTGGAGATAGCGAGCACAGGAAGCACCAAGGGGAGAAACGGGGCATGGAGAGCGGCGAAACTGTGCTGTTGCATCTTCACGGGCGAACTTCAACGAGTCGTCACCAACGGCGGTGAGAGGTATGCAGACTGCATGACTCAAAATTGACGGATGTGTTCTGTACATACAACACATCCCATCCCCATTGCACAACTGGATGAGGAGACGTCTTGCGCAGGTTTCATGGCATGATGATTGGGTCGCTAGATGGCGGGAGCTTTTCTCATGGCCATGCACACATGGTTATGGCCATGCACACATGGTTATATACAGTCGGTTGGATGGAGACCTCAAACTCGGCCGTTTTTTACCGGACCCACCGGACTCGCATACAGCACCGAAGCGCTGTCGCGCCGTCGTGTGATGAAAGGATGGTGTTTGGTATCTTGTACTGCGACGATACCGTTGCGTAGATACTGACAACAGGCTCTGATAGTTTGTTGTGATCTGTGCTTGCTATGCGTACAGAACGCACCACTTGAGACATCTAACATCAGTATTTGGCCAAAGGGTAAAATACCAAATTCGTGCTTTTATGTATCATATACGTATTTCTTGTCTGGCTCCGGGGGGGCGTGCTGTACAACGTGTTGCGACCGGGTGGTTATACTGTACTCCCCTGGGTGCTTGCTTCTCGGTCGGACAGCATGCCATACCATGCATGCACTGGTTCATTCGTGTTGCGACTATAGTCTAATGTTTTCCTTTCTGTTTGTCAGTATCGCGGCCACGCCCGAGTACCCCCCCCCCCTTCCCCCGCTCCCCCTGGACCCAGAACGTGCCGTCAAGCCTCCCTCTGATATACCCTCCAAACGGCAGTTCCGAAAGGTTGCTTTGGACAGAACCTTGTGCGGTTCCAGCAGTCCCGAAAAAGAGAAAGTGAGGCAGGCACATAGACCTTGAGTCCATTCCTCCTAACGTGTTGATCCGGTTCTTTCACTGGCGACGCGTGTTTCGCAACGGCGTCCCCTACTGCTGTATGTGGGCGCTGTGAAAAGCAGAACACGCCGCGCCTGACGGACACGTTTGTATGTATCTCAATCGTCTCGCTCTTAGCCTCGATCCTTGCTTCGCTCTCTGACGCCACCCTTTTCTCCTCCTCATCCAGACTTCTGCTGTTGTACAGTACTGAAGTGCACGTGTTGTTGCTATTTTTCACGTAATGTAGCAGTCGTTCGCCCCGGAGGTCCTACCTGCCGTACCCGAAAAAGAAGCCAAGCCGTGTGTATCATAGCACGTCACGTCCAGTTTTCACTCCCCCGTCCTGCCAAGTGCAGCGAACAATCGAGCATTCGGCATTCATTCGGTAAGGATTTTGATCGGCGCGAGTGCGCGGGACGTAGGGCGGGGTATACTCATAGCCGTGCATGCTGTAGTCGTTGGACCATTGACCTCGCATCCCTACCAAGCCGGGACGGAGCACGCCGTTTTTCACCGGACCGGGCTAACACATCATCAAGCACGAGGCCGTGAGGTGGTGGGGGGAGTCGATGTGTCGCTCATTTTTTCGAGGGCCCTAAAACACGGTGACCAGCCTCGTCTCCAAAGCCAAATACGAAACAATTCACGCTCTTGTCTTCTCACAGGCACCCCCCCCCCCAAAATAAATAAATAATGCCGCACAGAGCAGCTGTTGTATGCTTCGTGTGCTACGGTGCTCGCCGAACGCCGACCCTACTATCTCTACCCCTGACAATACGTACGTTTGCAGATTATGTCGTTGGGGGCGGGAATGGACACACACGAGGGGGCTACGACTCGGGGATTCGGGGACACCAAGGTGAGAAGAACGTGGGGGGGAACGTGTTTGCTTGCGTGGGGGTGGGTGGGGGTCCACTACTCGAATTTCTGGGCCCGCGGACGGGGGGGGGGGGGGGGGGTCCCCTTTTCCTGCCTGCCCTAATCCTTTGGCCCTTTACTTCCCCTCCCCCCAAAATCCGGACCGAACCCCCCCGGGTTTCCCCCGAATAAGCTCCCCCAACACCCAACCCCAAACCCCCTGGGGGTTTTCTCCAATCCCAAGAAAGGGGCCCCGCCTCCCGCTAAAGGGGTTCCGCATCCTTGGCTTTCTTTCCTTCGTACCGATGGGAACCGCCTATGAACTAAATTTTTTTTTGGGGCCTTCCCTTCCCAAAAAAATTTTAAACCCTGTGTAACTTCCCCCAGGGGGCTTTACCCTTTTAACCCAAAGGGGGGGGAATATCCCCCGGAAAAGGGGGGCGTAC